CACACAAAGCCGGCCGGCCCCCAGGCGCGCGGCTCCGGCCCGCCTGCCAGCACCCGGAGCGGAGGCGCACCCGCCCCCCAAACTTTCCCGCGCCGCGCCCTGCCTTCTCCGCGCCCCCAACAACCGCCCCCCGGGTCCTTTCTGCCCTCCCCCACTTCTCCAGCTTCTTGGAAATGTCATTTTCGCGTTTGAAGAAAAGTTTGGGGAGCCGGCTTTTGGTGGAACACAAGGGGTTAATGGAAACTCTTTCCCCCCCACCCCAAAAAAATCAGATTGATGTCTAAAATAAAAGTTTGAAGAATTGGCCTCATGGAAGAAATAGGAAGACCCAATATTCGTATCGTCTCAGCCACTCCTCCAAAAAAATCTAATGTAATTTAAAAATAAAAATTTGAGTAACTGGTCCTATGTAAAACGAGTGGTTAAGGGGATTCTTTCCAGCACCCCCAGTCAGCTTGGTTTTAAAAATAAATATTTGAGGAACTGCTTTTATGTGAAATACGAGGTGAAGAGAATATCTCAATCTACCATTGCCAAATTTAAAAAATATATCGGGTTTGTTTTAAAAATAAAAGTTTGAAGAACTGGCCCTATACAAGACAAGAGGTTAAGGGGGATTAGCCCTCCTTCTATATCCCCAATCAGACTGACTTAGAAAAGAAAAATTTGAGGAACTGATTCTATGTGAAATATGAGGTGAACAGGAATATTTCTATCCAACACCCTAAAAAATCAGATTTATTTTAAAAATAGAAATTTGAGGAACTGCCTCCTTGTGACTTATGAGGGCTTAAAGGGGATTTATTTCTGTCCTCACCCTCCCAAAAATCAGAATTTTTTTTAAATTAAAAAATCTGAATATATACATAGACAAGAGGGGTTACTGAACTCATCCTACATCCTCCACAGATGATTGATTTTTAGAATAAAAATTTGAAGAACTGCTCACATATGATATGAGAGAGGAACAGAAATCTTTCTTTACCCCTCCCCAAGAAAAAAAAATAAGAGCACTTTTTTTAATATAAGAAATTAGGGATAAACAAGAATCTTTTTCTGCTCCCAACTTTTAAAAAATAGGATTTGTTTCTTACAAAAGAAAGTGTACAGAACTTGAAGGAAGGGTTACAGAAATTATTTTCCTGTGCTCCAAAAAAAAAAGTTATTCTTGTTATTTTTTAAGTCTGAAAAAACTGAGAGACTCTATAGGAGAGACTCCTTCCCTCCAAGAATGAAACTGTGGGGATTTGGTCCTACGTGGGAGGCATGGAATTCAGACACACAATTCCCCACCCCAACACATACCCACATACTCAAGGAATTAAGAACAACCTTCTATACACCCCCCAAAAAGTTGTTGTTGTTGGGTACCATGATGCTATTCCAGCTCTTAGTGGCCCCATGTGACAGAGTAGAACTTCCCCATAGGGTTTTCTTGGCTGTAATCTTTATGGGAACAGATCACCAGGTCCTTCTCCTGCAGAGCTGCTGGGTGGGTTCGAACCAGCACCTTTCCATTAGCATCCAAGCACTCAACCATGTGGCCACCAGGGCTCCTTCCAAAAGAGTTGGAGGTACTTTAAAAATAAAAAGTGGCCATTTCTCTACCCACCAGCCTGGCAAGTATGTCCCTGGCAAGAGATTTGGCAGCCCCTGCCAAGGCTGGTATGGGGCATGGGAAGTGGGGCAGCCTTCAGAGTTTGGCAGAGTGGGGCTCCCATGAACTCTGGGTTTACACAATGGCCAGACCCCTGCCCACCTCTTCCTCACCCACCAGGGGCCTAGGGCCTTGTTGCTGGGAGAGATATCCTACGTTTGATGTCTCTCTGGCTCCCATCACTGTGTGATGGTTTTGGGGCACCTGCTTCAAAGCAAGGCCCCCATCTTCTGCCTGGTGGAACTACGCCTGACCTTAGGCCCTGGATTAGAAAGAAACTGGGCCCAAGATAACATTAGGTCTCAGATACCACAGCTCTACCAAGGCAAAAATCCTGTTTTGGGAATCAGGAAAACATGATTTAACAGATACTCATTGAATGCTTACTATGTGCCAGGCACATTGTGTCTAGTGGTGCAGACACAGCAGAAGGAAAATGATTTCTTACAGCAGCTGTTCTCAAACTTGAGCAAGCCTCAGAATTACCAGGAGGGCCTGTTCAAACACAGATTGCTGGGCCCACCCCAGATTTTTTGAGGTGGTAGGTCTGGTGGGGCCCAAGAATTTGCATTTCTAACAAGTTCCCAGGTGAGGTTGATGCTTCTGGTCTAGGGACCCACAGAGCCAAGAAGGACATATACAGGTGAAGGGTCAGAGGAAGGCCCTAACCCAGCCTGAGAGGTCACCAAAGATTCCAGAAGGCGGTAACATTTTGCTTGAAGGATGAGGGAAAGCACCCCATGCAAGGACAAGTCCCTTTGCCCTTGGGTCTTTATCAGATCCAAGGGTCATGGGAATTCTTAAACGAGGTCCTTGGTTAGGTTTGGGGATCCATGAACTACTTCTTAACATTATATATCAATTTATGTCTATATGTGCATTTTGAGGGAGAAAGTCTCTGACTTTCACCAAATTCTCAAAACGCTCAGGGACCCCAACCTGGAACGATCTGCAGCCAGTTTCTGGGCACCTCTGGCCTCTAAAATCCTCCTGGTTCCTTCTCAGGCTTGTTTTCGGAATCACTACAAATCCTTTCTGTCTCTCCACCACCCATGGGCCACGGGAACAAGGGCTTCTGCCCCAGAGAGAGCGCCAGAGGGCAAATCTTCTCCACAGGGGTCCCAGCCCTACAGAGACTGTCCCTTCTTGACTTTCTCCCAGCTGGACCATGTTCCTTAGTTCCCTCCCAGTCATGAAGGATGTGCTAAGGGACAAAGGCAGAGCTTGATGTCTGGCAAAATCCAGTTTGTAAATGAACGCACACATTTCTCAAACCACAGTGGAAACTACTGAATTACCCAGAGTGTTAACCAAAGGTAGAGTCACCACAAGTGGTGGGCCACCTCTTGCAGAAGTTTTGGAATATGCTGAGAAAGTGGCTAGGTACTGGGTGAGGTGGCCCTGGTCCCATCAGGTGCACTGTGGTCTTGTCTGAGCCCCTCACTTCCAGAGAGCGATGACACTGAGACCAGCATAATGAGGAGACTCAAAATCATGTCACACAACAGATGTTTAAGAGGAGGACCGCCATAAACATCAGGAGAACTCTGAGGGGCAGAGAAAGGAGCCAATGTATTTTGTGAGAGCCCAGAGGACAAGACCAGACCTGCTCAATGGTGTGACAGACCTCCTGGTAGACTGTGAGCAAGCACCATGACATTGCAGGGCTAGAAAGACCATCTGTCAGAGCTGCTGAAAAGTACAGAATCTTACGTTAGGTGGAAACTTAGTCCAGTGGGACCTCCATGGGCTTCCCCCTCCTCAAAGGGTCTGTGGGTTCAACTCTGTATACCTGGATTTGTCAAAATTCTGGAAACTTCTAGCCCGTTCCATGTTCAGCCCACTGCCCCCTGAACTAGCAGGAGCACACTAAAACCTATATGGCATAATGATTAAGTGCCTAGCCGGTCGAGTCAACTGCCTGGGTTGCAATCCTGGCTCTAGCTATGTGATTTTGAGTAGGCTACTCAACCTCTCCTTGCCTCCATGTCCTCACCTTTACAATGGTGTTAACAATGTCATCTACCTCAGCGGGGTACTTTGAGGATTAAATGAGATAATACATGTAAAGCTTTTAGAAAGTGCTTTATAAAGAAAGCATTCCCATAAATGGTATAGCTGTCAGAATCACAGACACATGTATTCTCTGCCTCAGCACCTGATGGGCTGTGTGACTTTGGGCTCGTGGCTTAATCTCTGAGTTTTAGTTTCTGTCTCTGTAACACTGGGATCACACACCTACCAGTTTTACCTACACTCTTTTAGTTGAAACCAATAGAAACGAAATTATGCTAAACCAAAGAAAAGGGGAAGATGTTGTTTTATTAAATTAGGGGGTAGATGACGGTACCCAAGGAAGCCTCATGAGCCAGAACTAGAAAGTCAACAGGAACTGAGCTTGCTCTCTCCATCCTGCTGGGCCATAGGTTTCTGGATGCTTCAGCCCTAATTCATTCTTTCTCCCTCTATTCTCTCTCTCTTTCTGTCTCTCTCTCTCCCTCCCCCTCTTCAGGTGGGCATTCTCTGCCTCTCTAGACACACTAGTCAAAATGGCTTCCCCTCAGGCCGCTCAGTGCCAGCAGGTGCTGACTGCTGACTGATGTCTCTGGGCTCTAATCCAAATTCTCGGGAGAGATAATGTGATTGGCCAAGCTTGGCTCGGGTGCCACAGGAAGCCAACTATCGATGGACAAGGGAAGCAGAGTCACATATTATAGAGGCTTCTGAGCCCCACCCCTGAGGGGGGAGACAGTTCTAGGAGAAGAGGGTGTGAGCCGGACCAAACCAAAACCAACTAAACCCGTTGCTGTCCAGTCGATTCCGACTCATAGCGACTCTATAGGACAGAGTAGAACTGCTCTATAAGGTTTCAAAGGAGCAGCTGGTGGACTTGAACCGCCAATGTTTTGGTCAAATGTTGTATCTCATAGAGGACTGTGAGGATTCACTGAGGTCAGGGATGTGAACATTCTTACCCTCGTGCCTCTTACAAAGACGTGCTCAA